TAACAAATCCTAATTTACCAAAAGCACAACAAAAAACAATATCTGGAAGGTGTAACTGGGCAACTTGAAATCAGAAATAAGCCATACCTTTTACCCAGGAAAATAATTAACCAAGACATTAATGATAGAGACTACTGTAAAATTTGCTGATTCTTTCTACCTTGATGTATTGAAGCCAAGACTTGAATGCCTTTTTGGCAAAGATTCTTTATCCAAACATAAACACTGCTGGGCTTGGTAAAGGGTACTGCATAAAGTGCAATTGCTTGTGATGTATGGGCCATCGAGCCAGATGAGCTAATGGTCCCTTGTGGCACTCTGCTTTATAAATCTATTAACTAGAATTTGGGATTTGTAGAGTAGTGGGCCAGAGGAACAACTGTGATTGAGGTTGTACAACCAGTTCCCGTGGACTCTATCATATTCCTTTTGAAATTGTTGGCAAAAATCCTATGGTATGAGCAATACTTGCCACTAATCACAAAGGGAAAAGGCTTTTATAAATGTTGATTTAGAAGGCTGAAGGAGTGAAACAGCATTTGTTAGTTGTTACATCTAGAAATACTTAGGAATTTTTTTCTTTGTTAGCATTTAGAGAATTCAGTCTCAAATGGCAGTTGCCTGGACATAAACAGAGACCTTCACACCAACCTGCTGCGAAATAACAAGAAATATCCTAATCACTGCATAAGCCTGAGCTTTGACAAGTTTAAACCTACTTTTCATTTTCTGTATAATTTCTAACAAAACCAAATAAAATGAAGTTTAACCTGTCTCCTGTTACCTTACAGAACATTTTATTTGGAAAGCTTAACCTAATCAAAGGGAAATCACTCTCAGGAAGCAGAACTGCATCACTGACCCATCAATTACCCTCACTGTAAAATATATATTTTTAAAATGTCCTAACATCTCCTTTAATGCCAACTCTTAGAAAGAATTTGCCTGGAAACTTCAATTTTCCTTTAGTGCTTAAAATGCAGCAGACATAAAGAAATAGCCCACAGCCTTGTTCACCTGCAAAAAAACCTGAAGAAAATTGGACTTTATTATAGACAGAGACATTAGTAGACAGAGCCAAATCCAGGTCCTAGATGTTTAGCGGTCTCATGTGAGTATCATCATACATGATGGAATATCACTGTTTAATAGGCTTCAAAATGCTGACTGTGTGTTCTCTTTGCTGATCCACCTCTACCAGTGCCATGAATAATGGCAGCCCTACCACTGATCCCCTATTATGTTCCCAAAGTCTGTTTTGTGCCCTGGGTACTTCAAAAATTGGCCTCTTCTAGATGGCCAAGAAAAGCAGGTGACAGATCTCAGCAGGATGGAGAAGTAGTCCCATATGGATATAGAAGAAATAAAGATGGCTAGGAAACATAGGGAAAGAAACCAATATGCAGAGGTGGGAAAACATCTAGGGATTGAATGCAAAGCACCCTCAACTTGGTTCAAAAACGGGTGTTAATACTTATGGATGCTTCTTGTTGCAGTAGTTGAATGAGGCAGTTCCTTTGGGAGCTTCCCATATTATAACCCATGAACACATAGTGCTGTGGGCAGAGAGCTTTCCATACCTGGCATCCTTCAGAAGTGTACAGCAATCAACAGCTCCAGCTGTCATCCCACATTCTTACCACTTTTTCCTCTCCAGCAATGTTTGGTCTCTGTCACATGCCCAAACTGCTGGCAGAGAAATAAGCTGTAGTTACAAATGTGCTGACTAGCCATTGCAATTGGACTGCAGTAGCATAGACAATATGGATAAGTGTAGAGTTCCTACTTGTTTGGAAAGGAGAGGTGGTAGGGTGGAGGGGAATTATTGTCAACCTTTTTTCTCTATCCAGCCACCAGACTTCAGCGTTTGTAGACATCTTGCCCATCGTAGGCATCTTTCTTCTCTCCTGGCAACATTCAAACCAGGTTGAATGGGGCTCTGAGCAACCTGGTCTAATGAAAGGTGGCCCTGCCCATGGCAGGAAGGCTGGGACAAGATGATCTTTAAAGTTTCTTCCAACACAAAACATTCTATGATTCTATGATCTTCAACACATCAACACTTAGAGCAGATCTAGAAAAAATTAATCAACAGGAGGGAAATGTGGGTGCGGGAGGGAGGAGGAAATGACCGACAAATACAGGCAGATGACAAATAAGTGCCCTTCAATCCAAGACAACACATTCTTCCTGCAAGTGACCCTGTGTGCCACAGCCTTTTCCACAAAACTCCTGGCTCTCATTCTCTAAAGAAAGGAGAGGTTTATCCCAAGCTCTGAGTTTTAATTCAATAACTATCTAGCCGTGTAAAAATACCACTATTGTTACCAGCAATCCTTTAGCTTTGTCTTGAGTTTTCAAGGCCTCGGGACAGAACTTTGTCTCTTTTGCCATCCAGAATTTTCTTGGATTGCCTGCAGCTTTACTTTAATTTGGTTTAGCTGACACAGCTATTTAACTGGCCAGGTTGCCCATGGCTGGTTTGTTTTACTTAGGTTTATCTTCATGTGGTACAGCTATAGTTTTAGAGAGAGATAATTAACAAGCAAATAGTCCATCTGGAATTAGATATTTATGGCTCTAATGCAGGGATGTGGTATAGAGTTATACAAGCCTGGAATAACATCAGAGACTTTCAGAGAGGGAGACACAAGACATTGCATCCAGGATTACAGTCAAGGGGTGATAAGAAATGGGGCACAGCCCGGCACTGGAGACTTCATCACCATAAATAACTCATTCATGGTCAATTAAAGGAAATACTGGGCAAACGTGGGCTTATAAAAAACAAAGGAACAATATCTATCATACAAAAAGAACATCAAATATAGACCACATAGACGCAACCTGGAGCTGCAGGCTAATGAAGAATGAGCAAAGGCATTACAGTGTGTTAGAAAACACAAAAACACCACAAATGTACCCTAAGAGGAGTAAGAAGAAACCATCAACATCATATTCCTCCCAACAAACCATTCCAGATGCTAATGATTTGTCATAAAATCCAGCACTCCTCAGCACCCCAATCAGACTGGAACAACAAACACTAGGGCCCATGGAAGAGTGAGTACAACACCAGGAAAAGGAGTAGAAACTAAAAAGTGTGAGCATAACTATTAGAACTTATTATCTTTTACAAAACAGTTACATCCAGCCTAATAATGATTAGACTTTTATGATTTCAGTTATACTAGCAATGTCTTTACTTAGATGCATCATGTGCTTGCTTCTGGCCATTATACAAGATTTTGAGCATAATAACCCAAACATTAAATATTGCTCTTCAGTCCCTTCCTTTGGGAGGAAACAGATATTAGGAATCTGCATCATCTATTGCAGAGGCTCACTGAGGCTACAGGATTGAGCCCACCTAATTGGTGGACAGGGTAGTCTGAGGTATCCTTACTGTTATAAGGAGAAGATTTAAGACTGGCTAGATTAGTCACATTAATTATTTCAACATTAGTACTCAGTTACAAATGGCTTTTGCCTTTTATGATTACGATTTATCCCTTCACACACAGAATCCAGACCAGAAAGGACTAATGGAACATCTCTGTACAAAGAAAAGCAAGGTATCCATCTCATTTTCCCACCCCTGACAAAGGCTGTTTTTCCAAGCTCCCACAAGGATTCAGAGTGGCTCATTAGCCCCAAGGATGACAACAGGGAGAGAAGTCTCAGTTCATTGCCTCTCCTCTGAAGTTATCAGGATTCCTATACATTCAGCATGGGACTAGAAACTAATAAAGGCAGAAACCATCTTTATGATTAGGGGTATTGACTGCGTTTGTCTAATTGCCTTGCTACAAATTCAAAATAGTCCATTATAGGGTCTCTGTGGAAATTATTGCACAAGTTAAAATACAGATAATTCATTTCTGTACATTTCCATTATGTAGACTTTCATTTGGGGGGGGCAGAGAGGAAGGTTAAAAACATACATTTTAAAAAAATAGTCTCTTCTTCCTCTACAGAACCAGCCCCAAAGCCTAGTTTTTATACAGATATTACAGTACTGTAAAAATTAAAAAAAAAAAATAGTCTTCCTATTTAACCAAAGCTTTTTACATTTCTAAATTCTGTCCCTCATCCACTGCCATAAATAAAACAGTTGCTATGGCACAATGTGAAACCAAACAGCTCTTTCTCTAGACCAAGGAGAACAGCCTAACGCCCCAAGAGTAGCAGCTTGTCTTTCAAAGCCAAGTGAAAATAAAGGGAGTTTCACTTCTAAGCTTTGAATTCCCCTGTGAAAACCTGAATAGAAATACATGGAATGCATATCATCTACCACTGGCTGGCAAAAATGCAAAAGCATTTTTCTAGGCCTGTAGGTTATTAAGACAACCCACTCATAAAAACTTCTATCAGTAAATGAGTCACTAAATCTCAACCAGGAGATGAATAACAATTTTAGGGAAGTAACTGTGACCTCAGGAGGCTCTTACTTACTTTGCAGCACAGATGAACTGGGAATTTGAAGAAAGAGTGCTACCACCTTCAGCAGAAAAACATCCAAGCAGTGCACAAATATGACAGGATGAAGTCCCACAGTGCAATCATTAAATGCAATTCGCCTCCTATGGCACACTGGAAATCACACACAACAGCCACATGTCCTGCTGAGGGATCAAAACAAGTCAGCAAGGGCTCTGAGAACTGACCTAGGAATTACAGGCTCCTGCTCCAGCCATTACATACTAGCAACAAAGGAGGATGAAAGTTTCAGAGTTACCCTATGGACACAAATATAGCAGAAGGGCACTTTTCCTGCTAGTATGATCAGGTAGGCACAGGTGTAATCACTACATACGGACCCCCTCTACTTTCCAGTCAGGGCTTTTCACCTGGAAAAACTTCAACACATGCAAATAAGCTCAAAGCATCCATCCATCTACAGCACCACTTCTTCAGGCTTGTGACTACAGGTATTCTTCTTTCAGAAGAAATACTTCCAGTGTCTCCCAGACAAGCATTAATGCACAAAAATTATACCCTTTTTTTTTTTTTTTTTGAAAGAAGTTTTAATAATAAATGTTCAACTTTTAAAAATTACATTTTAAGTCAGACATCATTAATTTTTTTTACAAACTCTTGGAGATCAGGGTTTTAACAACATATAGTATTTCTTCATTCAAGATGGAACAGCCTATAGATAAAATTGTGACTTGCAGTACTGTGTATTCAAGACTGCAAGTTCATAAAACTACAAACAGAATTATTTCTTCAGGAAAGTGGAAAATCACAAATTGCATGGAACATTAGGCTCCTGTATGCCACCACACCAGTCCCTTAAAAGTGAGGAATGTGGCTTCGATGTCTTCACAGCAATTCATGGGCTACACTGTCTCAGATTTTCACTCCAAAAGAAATATGCAGCTTAAAAGAATTTAGGACTGATACACATGTTGAGCTATTCCCTAAAAAATATGGCCTACTAAGAGAGAACTGATGACTTAGGGAAGTTAGAACTGACTTCTCAAAGGACGTCCATTTGGTACTCTGTCACACGTTAGCCGCATTGTATCAATATCTGTTTCTATACAGCTCCATGATTCAAATTAATAATGTTCAAGATTTTCTCCCACTTCGTGATGGGTTTTTCCTGCTGGTGATGCTTTTAAATTAGGTTTCGGGACCTTTTCGAAAAGCACACAGGTTTTTCCTCAAGTGGAAGGCATTCAGGGACAGAAATATACAAGCTGGTCTTCATGTCCACATTCTTTATGGCAGAAGTATTGAGTTCTCCTGGACATCAAAATGTGCCACGGTGCAAGTGATGCATCAGTAGTGGTCAGTAATGGTCCTAGGGTGCAGGCTGATAGCTGAAGTTGAACTCTGAAAAATACCAGAATAGAAGAACCTGTCAAAGAATTAATATGGTAAGGGTCATTCAAAATTAGGCATATTTTATTATCTTATATAAATAGAGCCATTCATTAGGAATTCAACATACTAAAAATACTAAACAGGGATCTTGTCAAACTCATGCACAGTCTGTACTTATTCCTGGCCACTAAACTTCAGAAGGTACTGAGATGATCTTGCCTGGTGCTATTGTGACCCTCTGTTATCCCATTATCTGCAATAGGATTTCAGAGAGGATTTAATAATTCCTTTTTTAAACAGTTGTCTTGACTTAGGCAGCTAAAGAACATTAAATGTTTCCTAAGTATTCTTCCTTTTTTGACTTTCTTTAATATTGGTTGGAAACAGCCAGATTCTTACATCCCACCTGCCCAAGAAACACAATCCACATGAACTTGGGAAGGCTGTCTCTGGAAAAAAAGAGTAAAATTATGTGATGCTTTGCCACAGCCCAATTTGGAATAAAACCATGGCAGTGAAAATGAGAAAGAGAAGTGGGAACATAGTAATTCTTCCTGAAAACTGAAGGGGTAAAAGTCTGAGTTTGCTTCAAAGATAACTTCATAGATTACTTAACCAGTAATCCCTCCTTACTGGCCACATCCAAAACCTCAATTAAAATAGGAAAATTGACCAAGCAAAACAAATTCATATTTAAATAGATTCATAATGTTCATTTTTATTAAATGAAAACTTTTGCCATTTTAAAACAGCTCTTATGAGAAGCAGATCCTTCATCCTTCTCCCTCCTTTTCAGACCTCCAGCAATCATTTGGAAAGCCATATACCATTTCCTGCATATTCTGTAACCAGTAGACCTTGAAATCAGTAGCATTAACAAAATAGAGAACACCCCTACTTTTTGTTGTTGATTGTGAAAGTTCTTCCCATTTAGAATATTCATTTCTCATCCTCACTTAAAGAGCAAGGTTCTTACAGTTACTGCCAAGCCCACGGCCACATGAAAGCCCATTTGGCAACCTCAGGAATGGGACTGGACTGAGCCCTGGGAAGCTCCTGCAAGGCTGTGAGAGAAAAGGGTGGCAGCCATTACTTTCTCCCATTCTACTTGCACCTTTAGTGGAGGAGAAGGATTACAATCTCATCTTTTCTCGGCCTCCTAAATGAAGTTTGGTTTTACAAGTCAGCCAGTTGAGGTATCTGCATGGCATTTGTGCCATGGGAAAAGGGTATTTCTGCCTAAGACAGGCAAATATATTGATGGAGGAAGAAACACATATTATCTGTCTCAGCCTGTAAGAGTTTAAGCAGCTCTGAAACTGAGTGACACAAGATGAATGACAGTTCTGTGCAGTGTAATTTCACACACCTGTAGCCATTCCACCCTGCACGCTCAACACCTGCTCTGCAAACCTGACAAATCCTAGAAAGGTGGAGAAGATTGGGTGACACCAACATGGTTGCCTTTCAGAAAACCATCAAACCAACCTGTTGGAAAACACCCTTTTTTTTCCTAGGACTACAGCCACACATACAACATATATAGGCATCTTACTCCAGAACAACTCTTCTAAGCCGAGCTTCTCACAAAAGCACAGGAACAAAGAGAGACCTCTGCTGCACCTGTGATATATGTGGAGAAATCTTGGCCAAATTAACAAAAAGAGTTTTACAATAACATCATTAACACTCTGTTACTGACAAATTGATCAGCATTGAGCACCCTCAGAAATGCCATTAACATAATCAATGTCAATGACCAAAAAAACCCAAGACAGCGCCACAAATAAAATACCTAACCTGCCAAATTCACACCACGATACCTTCCAGAGGAAAGAGTAACAAATGTAAGTTAAAAGGAGACTTTTCATTACTAAGAATTTATCATTCTACTAAGAATGCCAAGAATTGGATTAAAGGTATAAAAGGTAATCAAACAGGTGAGACAAAGCAAGATTTTTTTCTTATTCATACTACACTGAATAACAAGTATTCTTGAGCAACAGCTCAGGATCAAGCACTAGCAACAGAAAAGTAGGGGTTTTCTCAGGCGACTTCTTTTGCATCTCTTTCAAATAGTAATAGGGTCCTAAAACACTTCACCTCATTTGCTCCCATCTCTGTGTTTCTCATTATCCAGCTGTTCTCACCCTGTGATACAAATGTACTTTCTCAGTACTCTAAGAATCCAGAACAAATTTACTACTAATCTTGTTTTGCCATAAAATATATCAGACAGTAAAGTGGGTTAAGTTTCCATATTCTGCCTTACTGATGCCTCTCAGCATTAACAGGAAAATATTTGAAACAGCAGATCACATTATAATACAATTTAATCTTTTGTTTCTCTGCCTGCATTGCCCAATTATTGCCAGTTTGGATTGAGGGGTGTGGACATAAAACCACTAAAAATTACAAATCAGCCACTAGAAAACCACCATAAGGCAGTGTCTTTGATCAGTGGTCATGAGATCATGAGTTTTCTAAAGGTGTCCATGACAGTTTTGCCAATCATCCCTGAAGAAATATATCCCACCTTCTCTCTCCTCTTCAGTGAAAAAGGAAGATTTATACTTAGTCTATAAACCCTCTCACTGTTCCACTAAGTGTTCAAGAATTGTAGCAAGATGCCAAGAAGCAAATAATAAGAGACAAAATGAAATAATATGGTTTCCTGGAGCAGATTTTTCTAATTCTATAAAGATTAATATTCCACAGATGTCACCTAAGTGGGATGTACCACTGCCTCTTGGAGAATTGCATCTGAAATTCACTAATTTTCTCATTTTGCATGGAGAGAGGGAAAAAGGAGACACAGAGTTAACAGCTTTTACTGAATGAATGTAGAATAAAACCACACAGGAGGTGTGTTTTAAAAAAAAGACCTACGGGAAAAGTATAGTATGCAATATCTATCAGGAAACATCAAAAGAAAGAAAAAGCAAGAGGCACTATAGGAAGGAAAGAACCCCAAGGCTTTATGTGTGCATGGTCTGGATGATGAGAAACATTGAAAGAGTGATCACACAAGAGCCAGTCACAAAATAATCTCATAGCTGTTTGTACTGAACTGTTAATGCAACCTGCTTAGAACAGACAAGAAAAAGGGACACTGCAGGGCACAAACTAATAAGGGACCAAGGCAAAAAATGTACTTCCAATCTGCTTTCACAAGGGGAGAAAGAAAAGATGAAAAGTTGCTAGAGTGAGAGATAAATGTAAAAAAATCTAAGACTTGAAATTTCTGACTTGTGAAGAGACTGCAAATACAAACACAATTTGATGGCAACACCCTCTGACCCATGCATGTATTGATAATCACTGCTCTAAGAAGTACAGGTTAACAATGTAGCTTAACCAGGGAGCAAAGAATAATGCAGAGCTCTAGGGAGTGAAAAAATTATTACATATTTTTTAAAATATTATATTCTTGTATTAGTCTGTATTATTCACTAAAGTAAAATATATTTTATTAATCACTGCCAAATTGGTAACTGTAATAGACAGGAGCCAACAGACATATTTGACATCAATTATTTTTCATAAGTCATAAATAATGAAAACCAGGGATTCTTACTGGGGAAAGCTACTAATGCATTATGCCTAAAACAGAGTAGGAGCAGTGAAAGTGGGTTTGTAAGAAGGTTACATACAACCACTTTGAGTTTCTGTTTCCTGTTAGAATAAGAAAATATTTAAGCTGTACTCACTGAATATAATTACAGACACTTTCAAAGATCTTTAAATATTTAACTACCTAATCTTCACAATATCTCTATTTAATAGATGTTTCTTTGTACCCCAAATTTACACAAGAGAAACATCTATTATAGCTTATTTTTAAAAGTGGTTTTGTTTCTTTTATGAAATGCTGGAAACTGAAAAAAACCCCACTGGATAGAGGCCTCTGCAGGTGCAGCTTTGTAGATACAGACACAAATGAGAGGTTTTCTGCTCTTTGATTACTGCTGCCAGTCAAGCCAATATTCACTACAGGCTTCAAAATGTGGAGGCAATTAAGTAAAAGGACAAAACCATATCTGCAAATTTCAGCAGAGGCTCCTTCAAAGTTCAGCACGGAAAAGAAGGACCCTGCTCACAACTGCACACCTGGCTGTGCCAAGAGCAGAATCTGCAAGCTCTTGGCACTTCAGTTCCAGCTGAATCTATTGATGGATGCTGCTTTTCTGAGCCAAATTTCCAAGGCAGAGGGAATGAAAGGAAGGCAACAGGCTTATTTTAAACTTGACATTTCAGCAGAGCAGATCTATAGAATAATTGGAAAGACTTGCAACAAGCATATAATATTTATCCATACATTTTTACCAAAGAATTGCTGGTTGATCTAACATTACACTGACAAGCAAAAAGAATATAGAAACAGTACAGCCAGATTAATGAACTTGGATGTTCCTAGGGCATACTATTTTTTCATAGAAGAGCTGAAAGATGTCACCTGTACCTTAATTGAATTTTTAGACGTTCCCAAATGAAGAGCAGCTACCAGACAGTAAGAGAGAACAAAATGAGAAAATGAGGCTTCTGCTTTATTGTATTTTGTATTCTACATGGACATGTGATAAAAGAAGCTGAATCTAAAGCAAGATAACACATAATCATGATTGCTTTAATTAAAAATAAAGAAATAACCTAGATCCAGAAAAAAATAAACTTAACATTATTTGTTTCATTTTAAGTCACTCCCTAGGACAGTACTATTGTGTGACACAGAAACACAGAGCACACACATCACACATGCACCAGAGTCCCCCATACTACTGAAGCAATAACTCTAAAAGTGCAGTATGGTGCAGCCCTTGTGGCAATGGAAATGCTTATATTGATTTTACTGAACTGTGGACAGGACAGGCTCAGCATGACTTAGGATTAAAATTAGTCAACTGGAAAGAAGCAAAAGCCAGGCAGTAATACTCATGTAATAATAGTACTCACAGAATAAAGTAATGCATGGTGATTAAGAGTACAGGAATGAGACTTTACAGGATAAC